AGTGAACCAGATTCACGGGAGCTATATGCTACCGAAAGCTCCACTTTGTCTCTTATTTGACTTGTCTTGCTAAAGACGTAAATATCCTTTGTTCTAACAGCTTCTCTGTGTAGTATTTTCTTTGACTTTTGTTGGTGGAAAGAGGTATACCAGGTTGCATTTGTTGACTTTTCTGTATGTCCTTTTTTGCTAAATACCTGTTTTGTCAACGTAGCGATTGCAATTGGCATTTTTTGCCCTTGTTCTCCTATTGGATCCTGCAGTTGACAGCTTTGCAAAGGCAAACAAAGGCAGGTCGTCTATCATTCTCCTGCCAGTGTACAGTTACTGTTGTGGTTCTCAAAGCTGCATTTGATTTTGTTTTGCTTTGTTTTGTTTTCATCTTCTCCACCAGTTATTCAGGGTTGGGTCGTGTGGGCTGCAGTTTAAACACGGATGGCCAGGCTTCCCTCTCACTGGCCACTTCCTCCAGCTCCACTGGGGCAACCCCAAGGCGTTCCCAGGCCAGCTGAGAGATATAATCTCTCCAGCGTGTCCTGAGTCTGTCCAGGTGTCTCCTCCCGGTTGGACATGCCTGAAACACCTCCCCAGGGAGCCGTCCAGGAGATAGATACCTGAACCACCTCAACTGGTTCCTTCTAACGCAGAGGAGTCCCTCCCGAATGTCCGAGCTCTTCACCCTATCTCTAAGGCTGAGCCCAGCCACCCTGCGGAGGAAACTCATCTTGGCTGCTTGCATCTGCGATCTCATTCTTTTGGTCACTAACCAAAGCTCATGACCATGGGTGAGGGCGTTTGTGTGTGTTTGCTAAGCAAGCTGGTTGAAAAGTGGTGGCAAGAGAAACTGAAAGATGATCAGAAAGTGATGCACAAACCCAGCTGACTGTGGGCTGCTTCCTTCTCTCTTTGATTTTTCTCTCAGGGCAGGTGTTTGGCAAAGCTGTGGGGGGTTGTAGACAGGTGGGATGTGCGTGACTGGGGTGGTGGTGGTGGGGGGGGGGCAGATACAGCATGCTTGGTCTTGTGACTACAGCTCCTCAGGAGGAGTGGGTAGGAGAAGCAGCTCCACCTATCACGTGCCGGGGCACCTGACTCTCCTTGATGTCATGCAACGTCATTGGCTATATGGTGGCTATTCAATTCACAGCACATCTTTGCGTTTCCGCCAAGATGTTAATTTCTCGCAGCTGTGTGCCTGTCACGTGGAAAGTGGTAAATTTAGTGCAAATCGGCCGCCATATCCAAGTCTTGACATTTATCACATGGCACACGTACACGTTGTCCGCATGATCTTGATGGTGACTATTTTTGAATCAAGAGAGGGTGCGAGAGAGAGGGAGAGTGAGAGAGTGAAATGGAACATCTGCCATTGGTTTGTTTCGCCGTTAAAGGCTGCAGTTCATTCTGTGCAAAGCAGAAATGCAAACAGAGCAGCACGCTGGAGCAGCTGGTCTGCAAATGGATGCCACAGATCTGATTTTGGCCTTTCACGACACAAAATGCTTCTCAGGTTGAGAAGTTCATCGCTCACTTTCCGTCCCCTGGTGCAAACATTTGCTGACCATAATCTAGGTATCTAGACTACTGTAGACCACAACAAGTTCAACGTGACCAACAAAATAATATCCCGAGCCAATCATCTTTGGAAATGTTGCTAGAGGTCACTTCTGAATGGACATGGCAATGGTGGAATTTGATGCTTACCTATTTAAATACTTTTGTAAAAGTGTTAATGTGTTCTGTATACATCTATCTTGCATAACCACCTACCCTGTACTTGGTCACAGTGGGCCTGGGGCCCATCCCAGGAAGCGCAGGATTTAAGGCAGGGCGCTCCTTGGATTCTGGGTCATCCCACCCCCCCCCCGAAACACACACACACACACAAAATGGGGAAGTTAAAATATGCCCTGAATAATGCAGCAAGATAAAATGCGGTAAAAGAAATTATTATTCCATAAGTCACACAAAATGTTTCCATCCATTACAAAACCACCATTCCACACTAAATCCCTCCCTCTTACGCACGATGTAGCCAATGAACTGTACCGCTCTTAAAGGAGCAGCACCCTTAAAATATTTTTCATCATAAATCTATGCAGGCCAAACATACATTTCTGTAGGTCATACTGTTATTTTACGATCACTTTGCAAAGCATCACATCACATCTGTTAAAGCAGAATCTCACAGGGTGAAGCAGGACAGTCTAGATCTTGTCTTGTTTATCTGCTAGACGTAAGGTGTCATACACACTACCATTACAGAATCTGAGAAAGCTTCTTCGCTCTACTGATGCCCCCTAGAGGCAGCGAGTGTCTGTCACCCCGCACTGTACGGGGGTCTCCCTCTCAGAAGTCCCAGTCAGAGAGCTCATCAAGCCCTGGGTGCTTTTATTAATTCGCTCAAGCTAAATTAAATCCCCACACTGGTTCCCAGGCCGCTGTGTGAATTACGGGACCTCGGGGGAAACGGAAATCGATTAATGAGGCGAACAGCTAAAGATGCGACACAGACACATGCCTTTACATCCCCGCCCAGCTGGGATGCCATTCGGCAGGCGAGAGCCTGACGGCGTGTAATCTGCACGTCCTTCTTGCTAAGCGTAATCTTTAACGAGTGACAAATTGGGGGGGTCCTTTATCCCCGCCCCCCGCCTTCATCTTGCCCCTTCTATACATGAATAACAGAATGCATTTAAGGGACCCAGTATTCTAATATATTTTTTCCTCAATCCATGTATAAAGGGACAGATGGTAAACAAGGACATCAAGGAAATATAGGCTGTTTTTTTTTTTTTTTTGTCAGCAGTTAAATTTAAATTTCTTTATTTTCGTGGGGATTTCACTTAACTGAAGATGGGGGCACGAGGCGTTGAATCTCGGGGGCCTCAACGACAGCGAGCAGTGACATCATCGTCCTGCTACATTATTGTCTTTATCCTGGGTTTGCATGCATAATCCTCATGGCACCTAGAAACTGATCCTGAGTCAGTCAAGCCGGGTCGCATAGTAACACATGCCGATGATGTTCAACGGTGAGCCAACGGTGACTTTTGAGTCGGTCACATAATCTGTAGCCGTGTCACTTTTCACTAGCTGGATAAGCAGCGCGTGAAGCTGCATGAAGTTTAAGCTCAACCTAAGATAACATGGTGTGTAGCACCTGACATTAACAGGCTTTTGAAGGGGAACGCCGTGATTGGAGGAACCGCAGGAGATGCAGCTCGGAGGCACAGAGCAGGTGAACGACAATATGGTTTGATTTTGCTGCACGCATGTGGTTTCGCATGCTGTGCCAGTATGTGGGATGGTACAAGATTAACACCCTTGCCAAGTGAGACCTAACATAAAATCAACACAACAAATATTGAGACTTCGATGGGAAGCTTCACACAACAAGTGGCAGGAATTCTAAAGTGTTTATACCTGGAAACCTGATGTCAAAATAACAGGAGTGTTATTAAGCCACAATGGTAATAACTTCATATTGTTGTACTGATGACCCTCTGGCTGTAGGCTGTGGATGTCCCAGATCGGGGTAACAAGTAAGGGATAATGTGCAGGCAGCCGGTAATTATCGCAGAAATAAGCCCCGACAGTGTGATCAGGACCCGAAGCGAAGAGTGTCTTGTATCACACTGAAGGGGTTTATTTCACGATAACTACCGGCTGCCTGTACATTATCCCGCTTATTACACGGCTACTTGCCACATAAGGAAAAAAACTGAGCATGAATATGAATTTGAAACATTTTATTGGCATATTTGTTTTAAATTAACATTTTTAAACGGTAATCTTTGTTGGCGCGGAGGGATTTTAAACGTACAAGTAGTACCGGCTATGCGTTATTACTTTGGAGCGGTCATTATTTGAAAAGAACGAACCTGCAAATGTCTCAACTGACCAATCAGAATCAAGCATTCCAGAGAGCCGTGTAACAAGTCCCTTTGCCCTCCTGTTTCCAGTTACCAATCATATAGCATGGATTTGGTATTATTTGGGTAGAATGTTTGGTCATGTTCATCAGCATTTCCTGAACTTCATTCCCCTTAGTGTCTCCTGTGCTGAATCCCGAAGTGCTGTGCTTTTTTAATCCCTGTTCTGCCTTCCCGACCCGGCGTCACATGGTTCTGTTCGCATTCCCGCCTACAGCAGGTCTCACACTTTTATTTTACATGGTTGCCGCCATTGTTGTTCACACCAGCTAGTAAGTTGCACTGGAAAGTGTCTGGCAAACAAATGGGTGCAAATGTGCCATAACAGGGTACGGGGTATAAGTCTGTCACAAGGAAGAATAGCAGGCTTTTGTCACTAATCTTTATTACGAGAGAGAAAAACAAGAAAAAATAGTGTCATGGGCCCTTTAAGAACATAAAATTGAAAGGCAGCTAAACCGAGAGTGACACTATACCCTAATTCCAGCAGCTGTGAAGTAGCCTTCAGCTGAACTTTCTCCACACTTCTTCAAGCCTTCTGGCGTTGCTCGCCTGCTTCCATGCAGCTGACCCTGAAGCTGACCCCGTAAAAACCCTCACAAGGACATTAGTCTAACCAGGGTTAAGATAGGTTTTAGCTCATGGGTGTTTTAGAAAAAATGTTCTGAGGACAGAAAGAAAAATAAATGGTTTGGAGGGATAACCAATCAGATTGTACAGGAAGTTATGTAATTAGAGTAATGGTCCCGTAAAGGGCTCCTCTAGTTGTTTGAACCCACCTCCTCTACAATCTGATTTGTTAGCTCTCTGAACCAATAATTTTTTGTGCTGCCCTCAGAACATTTTTGTGTAAGTAGAACTCCCATGAGCCAGGTATTATTAACTGGGTTGCTTGTATGCACAAGGCCAGGTGATTAATCTCCAAGTTAGCAGCAGAGATCACTTAGCTGCACCCCTGTGCAGTCACTGTGCCTCCCTGCGGCCCACAGCATGGAAGAATAGTTCCGCACTGTATGGTTATTTGCAGTGGCGGGACATAATGACCCTGTCTCTCCCCATCCGCAGGTGTCGAAGGTTTGGAATGCATGCTGCCCATGGATGGCCAGAGGGTGACGCTGGACCAGCTCACACAGGACAGCTTCCAGAAGTGTAACGAGACCCTAACCCTCACCGACTTACTCATTATCATCTTCTCCGGCATCTCAGTCTCTGTGGCCGCCATCATGACGAGTTTCTTCCTGGCCTCCACTGTCCACTGTTTCCAGCGTTGGGGCAAAGGTTCTAAACAAGATGATGATGATGACGAAGAAGAAGACTGAGGAAGGGCCACCCCCCCAAACCCAAGAGCGGAGGATAGAGCTTGCATCTCTCATGATGACTATGTCCAGGGGTTAAAGGTCATATCACTCAGTGATAAAATGCCTGACCGCCGTGTGTCAGAGCTATTGAAAACATCTGATCTGTAGCTCCAGCTTTCAGACGTGGACTTGCACACGTGAGTGTGCTCACCCCTTAAAATCGAGTTCTGCATTAGTGTCTAAACTGCCACGGATCTCCATGAACGTTGTGCTCCTTTCAGAGCACTTCCAGTGTTTTCCAGTCGAACTTCGGTCTGCATCTCCATGTGAATGTGAGTGCTGCATCTCACTCTCCTGGTTGGGCTCTTGGCCCTGTGATCCAGACCATGCAGAACCTCGTTGCTAAGAACAGAACCCAAAATAAGGGGTACAAAACTGCCAGTTTTCAAAAAAGCAAATAATAACCATGAAAAATTAATTTACGTACATTTTTTGAGCCTAAGATACTGCTTTTCTTCTGGCCCAATATCCTTAAATTCTTCCCCATATATACATGTATGTATATAGAACCTTCCCAAAAAATAGGTACATAGAAATTTTTAAAGCAGTATCAGATTTTGCAAGTCTCGTATAGTTCTAAGGGACGAACACCATTAAATAAAACAAATAGGTTAGTTTAGAGCTGAGCAAAAATTGCACTTTAAACGGGAAAAGCTGTACGTAAGTCCCCTAGGCCGGTGGCCATCGTGGTTTTTTAGAAATGCCGAACTCTGGGATTCTGGGGACTCTGCCACTTGTCGACTTCCGCTGTGAGTGTTCTCATCTCTGTTCATCTCTTACAGCAATACGGCCACACATGCACATAATCTCCGGTAAACTCGTGCGTCAATGAAATGTAACCTCGTGTTTCCAAATCCGTGTTCTTTGCTTGCTGCTGACTTATAAACTGAGCTTATAAACAAAGTCTTAAAGTGATAGCACCTAACAGAATTACCACAGATATCTAGTAATTTAGCTTGTCATGATGGCCGTGTTTAAGAAGTTGACTTATATACTGAATGAAAACTTTGAGAAGCTAGTATCACATGCCTGAAAAATCAGTAAAATATCTCCAGGAAAATGTGATGCCTGTATTAGTCAGTACGGGATGTGTTTCCCATCGTTTTACACTGTACTCTCAAAGAAAAATGTATACAACGTTTGATGGTTGTGGTTCTATAGGACAATTAACTAGCTATGGATTGTAGGTGAATTGCTAAGCTTGTAATGCTAACTTGTTACTTTTAGCAGACCAAAATAAATTTTAATGCAGGTGTTGCAATAATTTCAGGGGGCAGACAGGTAAATTTGTGAGGTCCTTTGGTTTGATAGACACTCGTAATTAAAACCCTGTTGGTCTGCTTGAGGGATGTCACACAGCGGTGGTATTGGTGTGTTCGATCTCTGTCTGGATTTGTTATCGGTCTCCCCTCGAAACTCTTAACTTGAACCCAGACTGCAACTGATGTCCAAAGAGGGTCGTTGGCATTTCCGTTGTTTACGGGCTGTTTAATCGAAGGAGTGACTGTGTCCATTTAATCCGTCTTCTCTACCGTTCTTGTCTACTTTATGTTGACTGCCAGCCTGACCTGTCAATGATGAATCACAGTAGCGTAGCGCTGGTTTCCTGTCCTGTTACTCCTCTGATTGTGTCTTCTGCCTAGTCCCCATAGCAATAATTTGGGGAATCATTTTGGTTTTATATGTATCAGAAAATCTGTAACAGTGTTTCATAACATATAACTGCTGTAACCGATTCCTATGAGAATATTGTATAATACATGCCAGCATTATAAATTTATATAACTTATAAATAGTGCCGTTTTTACCAAGGAAAACGGTTCTTGGCATTGTGAGCATTTCCATCGCCTATGTACTACTAACCCTGAATGTTAAGCTGGATTGCTTGTGGGTCTCACTCCATCCAGCTGGGATGCTTCCTGTCCTTCTCACATGGGTCTGAAGGAAGGTGAGAGGCCACAGTCGCAGAGCAAAGCGCCTCTTGGTGTCTGATCTCTCTGCTATTTGTAGCACACATTCTTTTTAATTAAGATAAGCCCAAGTGCTAAAGCTCAAATGTTCATTATTTACACCTATTTCTCGTGGTTCTGTGGTCACATATACCATGTTCCAAATTATTATGATGCCATTTTTGGTTTATTCTAAATATCAACTCTATTTAGGTAGTTTTTATTGTCAACAATGCTATTGAATATAGATGTGAACAGAAGCGAATAATACCTGATAACGTTTTTTTATATATATTCTGAAACAAACACAAAATGCAGTGTTCCAGATTATTATGCTGAGTGCAGTTTTGGAATAGCCAGTGTGCCCTAAGTGACTCGAAACAGAAATCTGTTATATTCGATAAATAAAAAAGTTGTTCTTCAAAAAAAACAAACATCTTAAGAGAACTAGATGCCTGTTAATGTATATGCCCTTGGTGAAATTACATTAGTAACTCTCTCTCACTGCCATCCACTCATATGAATTTTCCTTTTTTGAAAACGCTCCAATCCATAAGTTCTCAATAAGGTTGAGGACCGAGGTGATGGTGGTCCAACCATGATTCACCCTTTTCATGCCCAAGGCCTCCTAGGAGTTGGTAGCCTTCTTAGCTGCATGTGATGGTGACGTTCCTGCAAGAACATCATTTCATTTTGGAAGCCAAGACTTCTTTTTATACCAGGACAGGAAATGTTGTATTGGGACCTTCACATATACTGCCAATTTAACACCATTATGGATTCTAAAGGGCCCTACCATCTCTCTTCCCATAATTCCTGCCCAAAACATTACTCCAAGACCACCTTGTTGATGCCAGAGTCTGGTGGGCGTAGGGAAGCCATTGGCCAGCCATCAGAAACTGGGCCATCCAGTGTAACACAGCATTGATAAATCTGCTAGAAAATTATCTTTTTTGAATGTCTGAGCTCATTGGATAATTTTATGTTTGCGAGTCTCGGTCAGGGGTGACTGAAATGCAAAAGTACCACAACTTCCAGCCTGTGGGAGATCCCACATTGAGATGTTCCTGGAATCTCAGGATCGGCTGCAGTTTTAAAGCTTGATGGTGCAATTTTTATACGTAGCTGCCCCTTTTAATGAGAACTGCCAAAAGAAACTTTCTGTAATGATCCTTCATTTGATGTACTTCATCTGATCTCTGAATCACTCACAATTTTTTAACAGTTATCCTGATAAATCAATTGTTTTCATGCTTTTTGCAAGACATTACACTATTTCACGCTTTGCAGCACCAGAACGATCTCTCTTCTTTCCAAAATTTAACGAGAACTGTGACTTGCCAAATAATGTGGAACGACTCCTTTAAGTAGGTTTCCGTTCAATTATGATCACCTGACAAACCAAATTACGAAACTCTCTGGGATTGGTGTATTTTATCTAAAGAGGCATGAAAAATGAATGAGCTGCAAGAAGATCACAATAAATTCGTATTTTGCTAGAAGGGTTACTGATACGTCACTTGCATAATAATTTGGAACACTGTAGTTTTACTTGTGATTCAGGTTGGCCTCTTCACCTCTGTGTATGACCTGGTCACAGAAAGCCTTCCTTGCACCCATTTGTACAGTGTAGTGTGTCATAAAGGTTCAGGCTTTGCGAGAATTATGTCTTTCATCTGCCACATTTATTTTTTGTCCTGTTTGGATTTCCGCATGAATATAGATTAATAGGCCACACCCTCACCTTTCTGTCCCGCTCTCCACTGTCACTTTCTTCCACGTCGAGGAAGCCGGCGCTTTTCGGAGAAATGGATTTTTACGTTTTTTTTCTCTCTTTATCAGCCATGCTGGTGCAGCATGACGTATTGCAGAAAACATGGAAGACTGCAGCTACCAGCTTTAACGAAAATAGTCCCGCCATTGTCTGATAAGCGCTTCTGCCTGCCAGAGACACGGCTTACTGGAAAGGAGGGAGAGGAAGAGGCAGCGGAAATGCTGGAAATTCAGCTACAGCCATGAGGGGACGTCGTTTTTGTGGTTTCGTGCTGCGTTACTGGCAAATTTGTGCAGGACGCTCCCTGTTTTTCTGTCACAGTTTGTCCAGGAGTATCTTTTCGGATCCAACTACTGTGTAGTTGCAGGCAGATCCAATCACCTGCATTGCAAACATGCATGCCCATGTGTTGTCAAGCTTTCGGAATGAGACCTGTCACCTCATCTGTTTGTGTTACTTTCACTCATCGGCGATGGTAATGGGAAAAAAAAATCTGTATGTCTAAAAACAAATTATTTATGACACATGACTCTTATTTTCAAGTTAACGTCCAGATTCATAAGTATATATTTTTAAATAAAAAATTTTGGGGTGATTCTGCATTGTGTTTTTCTCACAGATTATTCTAGGTATTCTGTGATTTTATGCCATTTATCAGAGATTTTACACTGCTCCTGACCATAACAACAGATATTTTTTTTTCCTGAGCAAGTAATATTCAATGGAAAGATACTCAAAATATGTCCGATTTTATTATCCAAGCACATTCCAAATGTACCACTGATTGGAATTAAAGGACACAAACTGAGATTAAAAATAAATGCTAGAATAAACATCAATAGTACATGTGTGATTCCTAAGAAGCTGTTGTATTGGTTGAACCATCGAGGTTGTCCCAGTCCTGTCAGTTACATATAAAATGTGGCTCTAACTGGTTACAAATACTGGAAATGAAGTTGCCATCTGTAGGTAAAAACTATATCGAGTTGGTAATTTGTAATTAATGGGAGATAAATGGTCATTAATGAGGAGTTTATAAGCCCAGCAAAGACCAGGGAGACACTCCAGCAAATAATTCAGAGAGCACCGTAAAGACCGTGACAAGATGAGGAGCATATGTCCCATTTCACAGGTTTATGCAAGCCACAGTTTGCTGGAAAAGCCCGGAACATTCCAAATGTTATGAACAGTCCCGTCTGGCATGGAAATGTCTAAATTATGAGCGGGGTGATATGAGTTATCTGTGTTGTTTTGGGAATTGGTTATATCATAAATGTCAGAAAATGTGCTGGACTGTGTATGTGGCTTCACTGTGCATGGAGACAGTCTGGGACAGATATACATACACACTGATGTGGGTGGGGGGGGGGGGGGGCTTTCCTCCTCTGTCCAGCATCACAGCTGAATGGAGCATGTATGTGCGTGCTGATGCGTGTGCGTGTTGTGGGAGAGCAGCCGTAGAGTAATATTGCTCTTTGTGTTCTGCTTTATCATCCTCTCCTAAAACCAGGGTGGGATGGGCGGGGGGTGGGGGGGGTATGCTGGCTGGCAGACAGTGGAAACGAGGGTCCGCCTGCTGCCGTCGTGCCACGTGTGGTTGTCATGGTTACAGGGTTGGGGGCCAGCAGACGGCAGAAGGGAGCGAGCAGTGTCCCCCCCCCCCCCGCTTTCTCTTTCACGATGCCGGGGGCACCTTGCGAGCCACGTGCCAGGCCTCATTGGCCGAGCCGCCATCGGTGGGGGGCGCAGCCGCTGGCGGCGTCATAGTGACGCCCCAAGCTGGGCGTGCTTAGCATGCCAGCATGTTTGGGACGTCGGCTATGTTGCTGGGATTTTCTGCATGCTTGTGTTTTTTCCACCACTGTAGGACATAGAGCTAAAAGACAGAGCTATAGGACACAGAGCTGGAGAAAACAGAGTGAAATTTGCAGTCTTGTTTGTCCGCTTAGATTAACTAGCTAGCTTCTCTTGAACTCCGTTTCATTCCCTCTCATAACTTTCCCTTTCCCTCCCTAACCCTAAATTTACCAACTAGACATTACACAGAGAAGCCAACGTATAATGGTGTAGGAGAGACTTTGTCAACACAAGTGCGAAGGATTCAGTGAATCTCAAAACTCCGAATGAGACAGGGCGAGGTGACTCAGGGTCATTGTAATTACTCAATAAATGATCCTCAGATGAGCATCGTGGGGGCACAGCGAGTGGCGTGGATGCCTCACACCTCCACGTGCCCCCCTCCCCCAAAGGAGCCCATCTGGACACTATTCAGCATTTGCCCTCAGTTCAACTGAGAGAGACACTGATGAAAAGGATCAGTTGCACTATGAAACCGGGGAGAACTGCTTGAGAATCTTGGCATCAGAGACACACAGATCTCTGCTCTCCCCTCTGGGGGCAAAGACACCCCCTTGTAATACTTACTTTTACTCTGGGCTAAGCTGATGTTTTACACCTGGGAAATCTCCCAGCTGTTAATGTAATTTGTCAAAATTTTATTAATATCTGCTACACACATACTGTATAGACATACTGCTTGCCAAGCCACCCCCGTCCATCCATTTTCTGAAACCGCTTGTCCTATTCAGGGTCGCGGGGGGGTCCAGAGTCTGTCCCGGAGGCTACAGGTGCAAGACAGGGGACAACCCAGGATGGGGCGCAAACCCATCACAGGGCACACTCACACACCATTTACTCACACACTCACACACCATTTACTCACACACTCACACACCATGTACTCACACACTCACACACCATTCACTCACACACTCACACACCATTTACTCACACACTCACACCTATGGGCAATTTGGTGACTGCGGAGTACCCAGAGGAAACCCAGTGATGACACAGGGAGAACATCCAAACTCCTCACACATAGAACCCCGGCAGAGACTCGAATGCCGATTCCAGAGGTGTGAGGTGACAGTACTCCCCCCTGCCCCACCGTACTGCCCCCTAGCCATCCCCATTATATACTTTTATATATATTTTACATATATACCATTTTTGCTTCCCTTTGATGTTTAGCAGGAGTCATTTCAAAATTATATTCCTTCCACCGGTGATATTTTATTTTCCATCATTACATGTTATTTTCTCTAGCACTGTTTGAACAGTATATGATTAAGATATGTTTGCTTATGGCTAATAAAATAGGAGTGAAAGTCAAACACCTCAGGCTTTTTTTGTGCTGTGCAGCTTAAAACAATCATATTGATTTGGTTTAAGAAAAGCTTATGAAGAATTTGATATAGATAAGTAGCTTTGGGCCACGTTTATCGAGTCAGTAAAAGGAAGTTGACCAGAAATGTTAGTGTGTGAGAGTTTGTGAATTCTGAATTAATACAAGAATGATTTCCTTTTAAAGGAGATAAATTGCAATTCAGAACACAGATGAGCTCAACATTGAAATGAGCTCAGATCTGATGTCACGTCGATACGGTAAACACAGATGCTTGTTCAGTCAAGGACATAATCATTAAACATGAGTCACTTTCCTTTCTGGCAATGGGGATGTCGGCACAGAAAATACAGAGAAGAAGCAAGTCAGGCAAGGCAGCGAACGGAGACACGATGGGCCAGGACGTGGGGTGGGGGGAGGGGGGGGGGGGATTTGCGTCACCGGTCGTCTGTGACAATCAGAGCGTGGTGATACCTAGACTTTCAGCCAGCCGGCCAGGATGAAAAGCGACGGACATCAGGCGTCGCCGTGGGCTGGGGCTTCGCAAGTCTGCCCTGGGGAGCAGTCTGTCTCTTCCTCTTATGCTCTCGAATCAATCAGGGCCTGCCCTCCTGCCTCTCCCCCTGCCCTGCTGCCTCTCCCCCTGCCCTCCTGCCTCTCCCCCTGCCCTCCTGCCTCTCCCCCTGCCCTGCTGCCTC